GTCGTTGGCGACGGCCATGTCAGTGTGGAAGGAAAGGGACAGCAGGCCAGAGGACGACTGGATCTCTGGAGGGATCTTTGTGCCACAGTACCGGCCAATCAGTGGAGCCACTGCAGACACACACACACACACATCAATTCAACCGATGTAAACTGTAGTTATTTGGTAAAAAAATTGTAAATGTAGTTGAAAGTGTTTTAAACCTTTTTCAATTAGCAATTTTATTTTTTTAAAACTGAGTATCTTGTGCATTTACTGTTTTTGCTGCATGATATTACTTGCTGCACACAAAAATGCATTTGTTTTGCAGTATCTTTAGGAACCAGAGTACTGCTTTCATTTAATATATGCAGTAAGAGGAATCCAGCACTTCAAAGACAGGTCTTCAGTAGCCACACTGCTTCAGTAAGTGATGTCTAATGAGTCACAGCATGCTCACTATCTCCCTGGCTCCTGTCATTGCTCTCTCTCCCTTTTCTCTCCTGTCCATCCTTCCATCTGCTATGTATGTCTCAGCCAGGCCCCAGCAGGGAGACTGGAATCCCTGCCTTAAAGCAAGCTGCACTGGGATCAGCTGCAGACACACACACAGACAAATGCACCAGCGAGGATTACAATAGTCTCAGGGGTAACTCACTTGCCAGACATGAAATTCTTCACCCTTCCATCTTGTTTCCCACCCCTCTTTCATGCCTGAGGATTTGGCTCACTGGAACTGGGTTACACTTTAATTTCCTCCTATCTCTCAACTTTGAATGATATAAATTGTTTTTTGCTATGAAAGCTCCCAAAATCAAGGCTATAATTGGAATTTTAAATCCACTTGGATCCCTTCTTAGTAAATGAAAATGGAATAATTAGAGCAAATCCTCAGATCTCTGCTTCAGAATTTTAAAAAGGGTGAAAAGAAAAAAAAAAACACAAGAGAGGTGGGAAGTGGCCCACTCACCACCAGTAATGTGGTTTTCATCAGCACCACAGCAACTAACATTACACTATGGCGGTCACTATCAAAGCCACTGATAATATCCTCAAATGTTTTTTCCTGGCCACATCCTGATCTCAGCTGATAGGCCACCTTTGCAATGCTCGGCCCCTCCTATTGGATACAAACAGATATTCATCGTGGCCATCACTCTCACTCACAGCGGAGGAAGGAAGCGCCAGGTGATAAGCAGAGAGGATGGGGAGTATAGGAAGGGGGTGCTGAAGGATGATATTATGGAGAGGGAAGAGGGCCATGGGAAAGGGCTGCTCCTTAGGGGTGTTGAGGCGCTTTCGGCTCCTCATGTGAAATAACGTTTCCTCTATGTAATGGAATGGAATGTAAGGCCAGGCTGCTTACATCAAACGGAGCAGTGGCTGCTCAGGAAATTGAAGACTGGTATGGAGATTTCTGCGTGGGAACGCAGGGATTGCATGAGTCAGTGCAAGAGCTATATGTGGAAATGAATGTAACGCGTGTGTGTTCTCCCCAGGAGCAACAAACATTGATTTTCCAAGCATGTGGGTGTCTGTGCATCTTAATACTCCATGAGCAGTCAATCCAATGTGTGTATGCTTGTCTAACATCACTCCAAAATCAGTATGTTTGGCATTTACGTGTGGGCACCCTCACCTTGTGGCAGGCCGTCCCACACGTCCAGCCAGTCATACTTGCAGTCACCCTCTCCCACAAGCAGGGGGTCATTTTCAAGGTCAAAGGTCAGGAACGTGAGGGTGATGTCCATGCGAGGCGGAGCGATGATCATGTAGGAGCACTCCAGATTGTGAGGGTATTTATCCGGGAACCCTGGGGACTCGATCATGCCAGAGGGGCTGGTGAAATTGCGGAAGCAGAATTCTGACCCTAAGCAAATACAAGGATAAGAGGTGATTTAGAAAGGAATAAGCAATCAGTCACATTAGGAGAAGATACAGGCATAAGCAATTGATCACACAGGAATATCTCATCTGACTTGCAGAGGGTGTTTCAGACAGTCATTCATCACTGACAGCAAGCAGCAGTTTATGATTACAGATAGAAAAGAAAACACAGCTAGCAAATGCTACTGTTGTATCATCTTATACGAGCAGGCTAATGGCTCTTTTGGTCAGGTGCCCCCCCCACACACACACACCTCAGTGTCCCAGCCCACCACCAAGCTCTGCCACCATTTTTGAAACAAAGCATCAATATTTTCCACCACTGTTAAAAACATGTTGTGCTCAATATGTAAACAAAAATCAATGAATATTTTAGAAAAGTAGCAAGATTTTATTTCATAATATATTTGTTTTATGTTACTTAAAATAATATCTTTTTTTAAATATTATTATTTAATACCAAACATACATTTACTATGCATTAAAGAATATAAAAACAAACAGTGTCCAATCCCACTTTTTAGCACAAATAAAAGAAAAAAGTTATTGTTTGTTGAGAAAAAAGGAAGCTCACTTTTCCTTTAACAGTATATCTATCACTCTGTTTTGTACAGTAATACCACAGATATCTCCTAAAGGCACAGTACCTCTATTTTAACATGTTCACTTCTAACTACATCCATTAGATTTGCACATACATGAAATGACATATCCAATAAAACCCAGTTATGCAGGGCTAAAGTCAGAAGACAGACCCCCTGCTCTATTGCACACATTCAAAGCAAATAATCTGTAATACCCACCCTCTCATTTCCTTTTGCACTCTCTCTCTGTGTCTTACACTCTCCCACACGCACACCACAAATGTTGTGTAATGGTTCTAAGTGGGCCCTTTGCAGTGACTCCTCATTAGCCATGCAGATTTATGGACCCTGGGCGGCTCACCTTGAGCACCAACAGCTGTGTGGCTCAAATCATCTACCCATCAGCCACTGCTCCTCAGCCCACTGGGGAGCCTGATTCACGGCCGAGTGTTTATGGACCGGCACATCAGTGAGGGTGGGAGAGAGCTGACATTCCAGCACATGCACATACACTAACAAAACAGACAGATGACGTTACCATAATGTCACACACACACATACGCCCTCATTCAGAAACCTCAGCTATTTTCTCAGTTTGTCTGTTCACCTTCTATTTCTATTTTTATACACAGACCATAAAAAGTTGGGTCTGTTTAGCTGGATGTCTTTCTGCATCTCTGTCTATTTTTATGCTTGCCAGAAGCGTAAATATCTTCATGTGATAATGTTGCTAAGAGACAGGATTTTCATTAGATCTTTGTTCAACTGCAAATGTCAGAAATGCCTATGCTAGTGGCCCTTCTAAACCAACTGATGGCACTTAAGTCACTTCTTCCTATTTATAAGTGCACTTGAAATTACTTGTGAAAGGCAAAGTGATAGAAGATGCATTTCATTACATTTTCATTTTTTTGCCAATACCTTTGCAACTGGCAAGCACAGAACTAACACACAAAAAAGAGTTTCTTTGTATGATGTTTTCCCATCATTGACTGGGTTGGAAAGCAGATAGGGAGGTCAGGTGGAGAAGCTTCCGGTGGATTTCAAACCCGGGAAAGCAGGAAAGCACTACACTGTTCCAGAGAACTGTCAGACTGTTTGATAACCAGATACATATTCATAAAAGCAGCGTTTAGGAGCACAGACACACTGACAGCACATTCCTTCTGCAGTATTCCTCCAGGGCACAAGTCCTTATTATCAGGCAGCCCCATAAAAGTAGAGGGGCTGACTGGCTGCTCTGGCCTTCCCTTGTCTACACTTGGTTAATGGCAAAGAACTGACCCTAATCAGCACAGACAGAGAGGGAAAAGCACTCAACACTATCTTTGTTTCTCTAGTTGTTTTTCTAGTTCTCTCACATTTTCCTTTCATTTGTTTTTTCTCACTTTTTCCTCCTCTTTGTTGCTAACAGTCAATAATGTGCCAAAGAGAGCATTTATATAGAAGCTCAGTATATGAGTTAAATGATGTTTATCCATTATTTGGCCATCATAAATCTTCAGAGCCCCACAATAAGCAACATTGTTTTCCAGACCCAACCTTCCCTTAACACAAAGCATCCCTGGACCATATCCTCACCCAAGCAAGGAGCAGATATGTGGCTTGACACACAGCATCTGCATTGCATTTGCTCAGGTCTTAACCTGGGTTGGAAGGCAGATAGGGAGGTCAGGTGGAGAAGCTTCTGGTGGCTGGCCCAGCTGGTTGTAACGGCAGTCACCTCTGAGAGCCGGGTTTCATCAGTTGTCCAGCCACTGACACTGTTCTACCAAGACTAACAAAAAAAAGGACTATTAACAATTTCATTGCATGTGTAGCTATATTATCACCAACACCAACACAAGTTCTGTGTGGGTGTAGGAGTGAAGACAAGTCTACAGATTCATCAGGTGGGCCTCCTCTCACTAGCTGGTGTTTCATTGATTTGGCCCATGGCACAGACAAGGCTCAACAATGTGTTCCAGCGTACCAGAATCAAAACATTTCAAATAGCTCACCGGATAACTAGCCAGACTTCTGCTTCCTTTCATACTGCATCATAAACCACCATGTGTTAGTATTCATTCCAATAATCTAGTCAAACGTCTACTATGCCCCAGGAAGTCAGCCCCAAGCCTGCTGCACGTATTAAACACTTTTAGCCTGTCCTCCTATGCTAGTTTATTTCACTCTGCAGCGCTACATCCCTGGATCCTGACAGTGTTATCTCCAGTATAGTCATAGTGCATTTAAATTCCTCTGTTAAACTGGTAAACTGGTAAAATCCCTAAACATATAAAGATTTTATATTATTTCCATCACATAAGCTGTATATGTATGTACAGTATTTATGAATATTCAATGTACATTATATATCTGTCTATCAATCTGTTTTGCACGTGTTGTACTGAAGCTGTTCACACCAATGTATATATTTTCCACCACTAAACCTCTTGTTTTGACTCCTGTGGAACATAAACACACACAGAATCACACTCACAGAACTAGTCATGTTGAAATATGTAATTTGCAGTAAGCTACCGGTTATATGTCCTTATCCCCCCAGCTTCAGACCTCACCTCTCTGTATTAAGTGTGTGTGTGTGTGTACAGCTACTGGTGTATAAGTAAATATATATGAATCCATTAAAGCAATAACATGCATGTGATTGCTTATAATGAAACAGTAAATTAACTCTTCAGTATGTAGAGCTATGCCAGTGTGTTTCTTTTTGTGTATTTCTTTTATTAAGCTCCTCACATGTGTGTCTTTAGTTACTGGTGTGTTTGTCTCTCAGTACGTCTCCTGTGTGTGTTTCTGTGTTTGAATGTGTGTGTGTGACAGCTTTGCAGTATGTGTGCGGCCTGGTAACACAGTGGCCTTGTTTCTTACTGGGTCACAGTGCAGCAGTCTGGAGGTCTTACTGCTGAAAACTTCAATCTGAGCACAGCTTGGCTCCATCGCCTCCAAACACACCATTCTGTGTTTAGACTGCACGTTCTGCACATGAGCTAGACCCTTCACACGCTCTGTGATGCCACGTGCCAAAGCTGGGTGCATGCACTTGTTCACATATTTGCATGTGCATGTGTACACTTTGCAGTGTATGCATGAGCACCTTCGCTTTTCATTAGCACTCATTAGTTCACAGTACATGAACATGCCAAAAACAAGGCCCCCCCACTACCTCTCCTGTCACCCCTCAGCCCACGTCTTGGCCCCTGGTTGGTGCCTGCATCGCACCATGAGCAGCCATTTGGCAAGACCTCTCTGTTGGCAAAGAGGGGGAGGTCATAGCACGAGTGTGTGTCTGAGTGTGCCGCAGAGGGGTGAGAGGATGAGTTGCTGGGTAGAAACCACTCGACTCTTGGACGTGAGCGCCTGATGCTGTAGCAGCTCCACATGTTGTTTCAGGGCAGCCCCCTTCCCTCCTCCTTCTCCTCTTCCTCTCTCATCCCTCCTTCTCTCTCTTCTAAGCAGCGACATGCAGTCTGTGTTCATTCACTCTCAACTCTTTCTCGGCTGCCGTCTTCTAGCTACTCCTGTCCTCGGCACAACTCTTGCTGAGGGCTCACCCTCACCGACTACATTTGCAAGTGTCTGCCACACATCAGAACCTCCTCTCCTCGCGCTGTCTACCTGCCTGTCTCTGTTTGACATACATCTGCTCCTCATACACAGAAACATGCACAGCTCTCATGTAACCCTGCTTGAGCTCAGTTCAATATTACATTGAAGAAAATCTCTCCTGAGGCATCTGACAAGGGTGAGTGTGTGGATGTGTGGCAGAAGGGGTGTGCTGCACCGGGGGGTTAGGGTGGTGGAAACCCCACAACAACAACAACAACAACATGCACAACACAAGCAAGAAAAGAAAAACAACATTGTTGTAGTGCCACAGCTCAGCACCCAGAGCGACATCCTGAATCAGTGTGAAGCAGATTTATTTAGACAGGAATGTTCCCTCTAAATCACATATCATGCTGATGCATCTATTATGTGTTGTGGAATTGAAATGCAATCAATTTTTATAATCTTGAGCACAAAAAAGGCAGGTGGCTTTTGCCACCTGCTGTTTGTGATCAAAGCAGCTCTAGATTTCTTGACTCTTATTAATGCAGTTGCTGATCATGCCTTATTATTTCATGTTTTCTTCATCACTGATCAGTCTGGTCAGTTTATTTATTCATGAATTTAACTTTGCCAATTAATTACTTGAGTGTAATTTCAGCACTGGGATGACTCAGGTGTTTCAAGAATAAACAACACATGGCAATCTGCTATAGTAACAGCCATCACTGACACAAGGGTCAGCATCCAATCAACACCACAGCAGCAGAAAACACACAGGACCAGTGTTATGACTGCAGATCTGCCTTCAGCTAAGCTCCCACCATGACCTTACAGACGGCATACAGCAGTCACCAGTGGTCACACAGGGGACCCGGCACCCTGGGGTGCTCTCTGCCTCGTCTTAACTCGGGATTGGTTGCAACATTATTTGCCCCTGCTAGATTAGTGGTGGGCCTGGGGGCTTAGCTGGCAAGACTTCCTCCTGTAGCTGTGGTAACAGCATGAGCATGCACGTGACTATGTGTAAGTGAAAGTGTATGAGGGGTGGGTGAGAGCATATTGGGGGAGGTTGAGGGCTGAATAAAGAGTTAAGAATGCATGAGTAGGAGCAAAGTAGGCCACAACAATAAAGGGGAGGAGGGGAGCTGTGCACTTTTACTGTCCAGCAGGATTAAGGCATATGTGTACTGTATACGTGTAAATTTAACCCTCCCCCTCAGGAGGTGTGCTAAAAGGGGGGGTGAGTGTCAGGATGGATGTAGAGTCAAAGGTCGACTCCTGCTTCTTCTGCTGGAGATAATTAGCTTTCACTGCACTGTACCCTGTTACACATGCACACACACTGACACACACGCTGACACTAACAGATTACTTGTCCACATCAAAACCTCTGGAGTTGTTACAGTCACCATTTATGTAATAGGGTTGAGTAAACAAAACAAAAACAAGCCTCATTGTTATTGGTTCATTTAAAAAAAATAACAAACCAGGATTTGCCTCTCTCTCTCTCTCTCTCCTCATACACACACACACACACACACACAGCCAAAACCTTAACTCTGATTTCTAGACACACTATGGTGGGGTCAGCCTGTGGTGTCTGTTTATGGGAAGGAAGCTCTACAGACACACAGCTCCCAGCTATGTGCTGAGATTTCTATCTCTGCTGGGACGCGCCCTTTAAAAACACATGCGCACCCATAAACACACACCCTCATACTTTTAAAGCAATAAAAAACAGTTAAATCTAAACAGACAGACAGTTAGAATAATGTTGTCTCCCAGAAAATGTAAGTATAAAAAAAACACAACTAAAATTCATTAACAGGGGTAAAAGTGATAGTAGCGCAATTTCTTCCGCTCTGATAAATAAACACATCTCAGCCAGGATCTCAGTGTTCCCATCAGAAGTTGTAAACTGTGTTTAGTGGAAAGCTGTGGCCCGGGCCTGCCATGGTACGACAAACAGTTTGCAGAAGATGAAAATGCTGTATTTAACACATGGCCTCAATCATGCATCCTGAATGTTTTCGCTCTCTGACTCAGTCCGTCTCTCTTCACCCCAATCATCTTCCCACTGTATTGCTCTCTCTTTGTCTGTCACGCTATCTGTCTTCCTCTCACACACACAAACACACGTGCATCTACACTCCGCCTCCACATACAGACAGACAGAATCTGGCACAACAAGCTGAGTGGAGCCACCCACACATGCTGCGAGCAGACACCTACATGTGCTCACAGTCACACAATCTCTTATACCCCCCAAATTTATACCAGGATCTTGTTAAAACCATGGCAACTGCATCCCCCATTCACCATCCTTCAATCCATCTGCAAGTGTGTGTGCATGAGAGACAGACTACACTATTACATCGTCAGGGTTTGAGTTTGTTGGTAATGGAGCTGAACGTCAAAATATGGGTCATGTTCATTTGAAACAAAACCAGTGATATTTTTAAAGGTAGGATGTGATCCTGTGTACGTTCTCTCACTTTCAGCTTAAAATGAATGCCCTTTTTTTTTTGTGTGTTCCACAAACCCGGACTTTCTTCAGTCTTTTTATTTCTTGTTTTTCAATCAACATACAGTTTGTGAACTAAAGGTCTGAATTAAATTGAATGTTGGCCTGTTGAAGAGAAACCTAAAACGCTCCAGCAAAGACAGTCAGCTGGTAACTCATTTGAACATAAATCTTTTAGCTGCCTCAAGGCCACCTGACCCATTTCACCTGTTCCTTTCCTACACACACACACCCCACCACCACCAAAACAAATATACTTCCCACTCAGCCTCACCTGCAAAGCATACTTTACCTCGTGAACTTCAACGACCTCGAGAAAATTCTATTTCAGCACACACTCATTCTCATCAATCTCTTTGTCTTCACCTCTACCCATAAACCTTTAACCTCAGGTCCAACTCCATGTTGTCATGGAGCTCTCCCCATCATCCCACCACCTCCCACTCCCAGCCATTCCATCTCCCCAGATGAATCAGATCCTGTGCCAATTAAGCAACAATTCCTAACATGCTTTCAGGCAGCTTGAAAGTAGTTCAGTCGGTTTCCCCCTTCTCGCTTTAAGTTTTGTTTATATGCACGGTTGCCTCTGCTGATGTAAATTGCTGTGAGAGTGTAGGCGTGGATGATCACAAGTTTCAGGTCATTAACATGGAGCAAAGAAGTGGCACTGGGACAAAACCATTAACTTAAGTATGTGCAGCAGAGCCTTATGGTTCAGAGTTGTCTCAATCTGAAATGTTCCACAGAGGTGTCAGAACACTTTTAGACTTTAGGATAAATTAGATGCAGTTAGGAGCAGACTGGAACATGGTCAGCGACTGAACTGCAAAACCACTAGTATTGATTTCTTACAGACTGTAGGAAATTCAGCCATATGAATCAAATGTTAACCAGCCACAAACTACCAAAGTGTGGCTCAGCAGATTACAAAACTGAATCAAGATTATAATACATCAAAGAGTAAGAAGACTAAGATCAGAGTCAAGAAATACTTTACAAACTGCTGAATACAGTATGTATCTTACACATTTCCATCAAAACGTTTTTAAACCTGTTCTTCATTTATTTACTGTAATATGACACCCATTGTTGCATTATGCTTGTTACGTATTGGAAAATACGCAAAAAATAATGTTTGCTCACCTGTTCTGAAAATCTCGTAGCGCAGAGAGAACCCCGCCCCCTGGTGGGCATAGTCTGAGACGAATCTGATCTGAATGGAGGAGCCTGATGAGATGATCGGCGCCGGGGCGATGTTGCTGCAGTGTCGACCCAGAACATCAGCAGTGTCTGAAGTTCCATCACGGATCTCGATGAAATCATACCTGGTCCCCCAAAAAAGGAGAAAAATCAAAGATGGAGACTTGTAACAATGAGTTTGTGCTTAATGCAGTCAGAAGGGATTAGAAGAGGTGAAGAGATGAAAGGAGAGTGCTGGCAGAGAGATAAACATAGACAGATAGTTCTGGGGTTATATAACAAGCTAAGCTAATAAAAACCAGACAGGTATGGATCTATTTACCATCACAGTTCAGCCTCAGGACAGAATACACAGTGTCCAAGTGAAGCATTTAGGAGCACAACACAACATTAAGATCCAAATAAATATATCTGCCATAGACCTGGTTCTCAGCCAAAGCATCTCCACCTCACTTGTGCTGGTTCCCCTCAGCTGCATTCAATAAATTTAGCTCTTACAACCCAGTTTTGCTCAGGACTTCAAACTCAGAGTCATCTGATGTAAGCAATCACCAAACCACTGACTCATAGAGGAAAAAAGCAGAGGAAGGAATGCATTTCAAACAGAACATATAAGTGGGGGAGATGAAATAAAATAGATGACCTCATAATAAGAGGCAGAAAAACAGACAGAAGCTCATAAAAAAATAAAGTGGTGAGGGCTGAGGGAGAGGAAAGGAGAAGACATTAGCAGCACAGGGCGTGACTCGGGTGTTAGAGAGAGAAGCTAGGGTAAATAAATGTGAAGACACCTCACATGCTTGGGTTCTCACCTCATTATGACCTTTGACTAGCCTGTGACCTCGAACTATAAAAGTAAATGCTTAACCCTTGGGTTAGTGTGTGTGTGAGAGAGAGACCCCACCTGGCTGATCCAAAATTAGCCCCCCTGCCATTCCTCTAACAATATTAGACACCCGCAGCAGCACAAAGTCAGAGGCGACACACTTCACTCTCTGAGATGAAGTTTGATTTACTCCAATTAGTGCACCAGATGGGTGGAGTTTAGAACATCACAAACTATTCAGTCGCAGAAATGTTTCCAAACTGCACCACTTCTTTTGTATGAAATGTCCTGACTGACAGCAAATGTTAACATTTCCATGTTTCCAGTCTTTAAGTTAATGTCTATATACCCATATAAAGTGCAGCATAAGAGGGAAAGCAGGAGCAAAAACATCACTGTGAAGCCCAGTGTGAGCCATGATGAGTACAGTCAAGTGTTTTCCTAATGAATGAGGGATTTATTTTAACATACTATCAGTATGGTGAACTGAATTTTACACTGTTTTTTCCACCTAACTTGCACTGCATGTGTTTTAAAACTATCTCTGACTGTGTTTCCAAAGAAATGTTCACTTTTTCCATTTATAGTATTTTTTTGGTCTCACGTGGGAGAGAACAAGGAAAACTGTCATTTACTGTAAAACACAGTCTTTCTATGCATTACCTCCAATAATTGATACTGTCACTTTGTTGATATGATTAAAAAGGGCCCCGGCCGTGCTTGGGAGATGACAGTCAACCACCATGTTTTAAGGTAATTTTGGGTTGTGACTCTGTTGGAGGTTGTGGAAATCTCCATAATTTTTGTTTGTTACTATTTAAGTACTGTTTTAAGTAGGTTACTCAAAATTTTACTTGAGCCATTTTCTTCCTAAACAGGGTGTCAAAAGTAACCTTCACTTTTCTGCCTCGCTTTGTGCGTACCTGTATTTTCTGCTAAATGTGAGTTGTGCAACTGTGAATAATTTCCTTGTAATTTTGGTCTCCATAATATTCCTCCCTATGTCTCTTGATCTTGACGGTGCTAACAAGTGTCCCTTCAACCTCCATGTTGTGATTCCCTGCGTAACTAACCACATCGCCACAGGAGTCTTGCGGCTATGTTGAGGACAGCCTCCCTGCATACACACATACAAACACACACAATTAGTTCATATTATGAAGCAGTCAAAAAAACAACAGGGCTTCTGTTTTCTCACTAATTACTGTGATGGGCTCTTTGAGGCTGAAAAACCCTCACAGACGTAGGTGAGTCACTATTAGACACAGCATCTTGTTAATGCTCTATACAGGAAACGGGTGGTGTTTTTTTTTATCACTGCTTCCCCAAAATGAAAAGGAGTTCAGGAAAGCTGACATGTATGACTCAGCACTAGGCAGTGTTTCTTTGTGGCATCGACTGCTTCTGTACTCCCACACTGGAACAAAACCTGGAATTAAGTATATTGTTCCTGCAGTGTACTGACTCCCAAACAGGACATTCAAGCTAAGACTGATGACGGAGTCATATTAGTCTTGGTCAGAGCGGCACATAGGTGAAGACCAAAGTGTGAAAATACTGCAATGAACCTGTAACATTACTGTAACATCGTCAGCACCATGTGTGGGACGTAGTCTATTTCAGTAAACTAAAAAAGTACAAAAACTAGACAGCAGTCAGAGAACACAGACCTCAGTTTCCACATAATGCCATTTTACCTGAAAGTAATATTCCCATGATAGTTTCACCCTCATAATATAACTAGGAATCATGTTGATATCATTAGTAGTTTAAAGTTCCTCAAGACAAATGTCAAAGCCTTTCCAACAGTCACAGTGGTGAAGAATCATTTTAAACATTCCTGAATCTGGATAATGATAGTGGATTAGCACCTAAATTTAACAGATTGTTCTGTGGGCTATATCCTACTTGTCCAGAGCATTTCATCATAATCCATTCATTACTTTTTGGGTTATGCTGTGAGAAATCCAATCAACAAACGCAGGTTGGTCCAAACCCTGATGAGCAGATGACGGGATCACACAGCAGCCAAGTACTTTTATTGTGAAACTCTGATAAAGCAGTTTTTGAAACTGTTCTGATTTGGCTTTAGAAATGATGCTTGTAGCAGCTCTGGATGCCCACATGCAATGCTGCAGGTTTACTACACTGGCTTGAATTTTTCATGTTGTTGCTGGCCATGATTGTTATATTTTTTGAACTATTGAACTTATAGAAGAGTGCTGACTATAAAGGGGAAATTCCACCAGTTTCACACACTGAAAACAGTTGTATGCACTGTGGAGCTGGAGGAGCTTTGCCTAAGAAAATTATACAAGTGAAATCATTTAAGTATCCTCAGCGTGGGTTTGGGGAATTACATTTGTGAGGGGAAGCCTGTATCACATACTGAGAGTGAGCAGTTTTAAATATGAGAGTGTTTATTCTAGCAAAATGGATTATGGGAATTGCAGCATTTTTCAAGCCTGACCTAAAAAACTAAAAGTCAGGATATCTGGTTTCTTTCTCTCCAACCTTCTCAAGCCATCCTAACTTTATTGAAATGCAGGTGTAAATTGCTTTGCATACACTATCTAGTGAGGACATGAACAGGTTTTAGCCTCCCTCCTAGCAGTTATAGTATGTGATGGTTGAGGCTGAAGAAAATCTCCACAAAAGTGCCTTGAAAAGCACTCATACCAGTGAAATAAAGAATTAAAGTGAATACAGAAGTTGTTGTCCAATTCTTTTATATGCATCTTGGTTGTCATTGTGGATTACAGAGTCAATCGTAAAGAATTCAGTGGCCCACGATGAGCCAGGAAGAGCCACTGCTATCCCTAAGCACACCTGCTTGGGACTGCAACTGACAAATGCTTAGGGAAAACACACTATCAAGCATGTGCCAACAAACACAGACACCGGCGTGCGCGTTCACACTCAGCGTCATATCGCCAACACCAAGGATAAAAGGCCCGTAAAAGAGCTGAGAGCCTAATTAGGTTTTAATTGATTTTGGAGTGGGTCTATATCCTCTCTTGCTCTCCCTCTTTCTGTCTCACTCTCTCCCTGTCATGGATTAACGTCAGTGAGTGAGTGTTCCTCAGATGTGATTATTGACCTGTTCGCTCAGCCTCTCCCCAGGCTCTCATGAATACATGCATGAGGGCCTAACGTGTGAGAGCCCACTGTCTGTCTCAGACACACACTTGAACACATTCCAGGACACTGCACACACATAAATCACTTGCACATGCGCACACACAAATATGCAAACACACATTAGCATCGCATACTCTACTGTCTCCCCCCACCCCCACCCAGATCACCCAGACCCAGATTCCATTAGGGAGCTGTTTTGATACAAACCCTGTATTTGTTTGACACCACCCATCATCCCCATTCCCAGCTTTCTGTCTGGACCTGCATATGACCTGTCCCTGTGTTTAGGGAGCCATTATGGGGCACCAGTTTCACTCCCCACCCCCTCATTCCCCCATAGAGAATAGCTGCAGCAGAGAGTCAGGGTTAAGGAAACTAAAAACCCTACAGGGCCAGTAGTTCTGCACCAGTCCAGACATGTCCTCTCTTCCTCTGCTCTCCTATATCACTCTGGCAAAACAGCTAATTGCCTTTCACACCTTTGTTGTTTGTTGCGGACCAGAGACATTCCCTGCAGGCACAAGCACCTCACCACAGAGAAACATAACTGCACTTCATATACAGGGCAGTGCCGACTTAGACATCTCTCAGCTTGACCTGTCTGCAGGTGGCTCTCTGCTATAAACACCAGTCACAGGTCATTTCATCTCTTGGGGCACTAATAGTCATATTTATGCACTTATGTAAAATCAGCAAAGCAGTTCTCATTTAACTGCCTGTGTATGTGGGACTAGCTTGCGTTCCATTTTGAGTGTTTAAATTACACAAAAGATTAACACAATTTACTGTGGGTGCATCACAGTCAATTTGATTTTGTTTATGCTGATAAGCTGTTCTCAACTGTCATCAAAACCAAACTTGAACGTATTCAGACACCTGAATTGATTTTCCTCCGTTTTTTGTTTTCCACTCACAGAGCACAGAAACCTATCAGCGAAGCTGTAAAAACGGGTCTCGGAGAGAACCGGGAAAAGGCCCAGGAAACACAGGCCACTGAAGCAGCACTGACCTTTGATGACCCGGTGTCAGAAATGACCTTACAGGAGGAGCTGCAGAGCACCATCGAACAGATTATCTCTTTATAATTAGAAGTCCCACCAGAACAACAACAATATTTACAAGAACTACTTGAATGTCCAAAGAAGAGTCCAAGGAGAC